AAAAAAGGTAACATGAAACAGGTAAAATTAATTTTAGCAAATGTACATTTGATTTAACCTAATATATCCAGCAGGTTATCATTTCAACGTGTAATCAATATAATAGTTATTAATAGAATATTTTTCATTGTTTTATGGACAGGGGTCTCTACCAGCAGAGCACGTCCATGTTCTGTGTGCCTTAGCACCAGCTTGTGGTTATCAGCAGAGGGATTTACAAGTTTTACTCAAGGCTCTCACACCCTCCAGTTCCTGCATCCAGTTTCCATGAGGCCTCTTTCATTTTGGATCTGCCTGTCATCCACATTTCTCCATCAAGACTCAGCACCCCACCCTTTAAAAATAACATTTCAAATCATTCTTTCATGCGGCATGAGATTTTTGAGCTATGATTCACTTCAAATTTCTGCAGGGCTTAAGTGCTTTAATTTCCTTTAAAATAATGTTGGGAGAAAAGTCAAATAGCCCAGTGGAAAAATGTGCAAAGGATATTAACAAGCAGTTTACATACAAGGAGACACATTTGAGCATCATAAAAAATGCTCAGACTCCCTAGCAGCTGGGAAAGTATAAATCAAGGCAACCCTTTTTCCTACAAATGGGAGTTTGATACTGTTCAGTGTTGGTGAGGGTGTGGGGAAGTGGGTAAACCATGGGTGGGGGTGTTGTTTCCAACAATTTTCTAGAGAACAAATTTGACAGCATCTAGAAAGCTAAAAATGTGCACACCCTATGGCAGTTCTCCTTCCCGTCTTCCTCAGAGAAGTTGTCTCACGTGCACACCAGGAAGCAAACGGGAGAGTTTTGTAAACGGCATTGGTGGTAATAGAAAAAATTTGGAATTACCTAAATGTCCTTCAATAAAGGAACATATAAATACATCATGATAGACTCACATGAATAACGATGATATACCAATTAAAAAGAACGAGATAGATCTACATGTACTCATACAGCAAGAACTCTGAAGTTATACAGCTGAGGGTCAAAAAACAACTTGCAAAATAATACAAAGAATATGGTACTATTTGTATAAAAAGGTTACACTAAACAATACTAACATACTTTTGTGGGTAATCACGCATATGTTTGTAATGATAGAGGGAAGCTTTGGGAAGGAGACACACTAAATTGATGACAGTGAATACTCATGGGGAGACACAAAGAAAAGTGGGGCCGGGCATGGTGGCTCACGCCTGTAATCCCAGCACTTTGGGAGGCTGAGGCGGGTGGATCACGAGGTCAGGAGATCGAGACCATCCTGGCTAACATGGTGAAAACCCGTCTCTACTAAACATTAGTTGAGCATTGTGGCACTTGCCTGTAATCCCAGCTACTTAGGAGGCTGAAGCAGGAGAATCACTTGAACCCAGGAGGCGGAGGTTGCAGTGACCCGAGATCGCACCACTGTATTCCAGCCTAGGCGACAGAGCTAGACTCTGTCACCAAAAAAAAAAAAAGAAAGAAAGAAAAGTGAGTTTAAGTGTGGTGGCCAGAGGAGACATCAGCTTTATGTATAGTATAAAAATATTTCTGGGAATATTCTTTTTCCCAGAAATATTTAAAGTATTACTTGTCGACTTTAAAATTAATGGAAAACACGGGTGTGAGAGCACCTCCTCCCCGTTCCTGGCAATGAGAAGCAGAGGCAAATCTTTCTATTAATACTTTCTGGGCCATCTGATCTCATTTTATTTTACCCTGAGTTTCTGAGCCTGTGAAGGGTTCTGGTGCTTCCTCAACTCATGGTATGACGTTGGAAGTTTCCTTTTCTAGGCATCAGTTTCATCTGTAAAATAAGACATTTCTGCCAGATGATACCTTATGTTTTGTGGCTGCAAAGTATTGAGTCCAAATGACTAAATCAGATTGCTGTTTCTAGAGGAAAGCTAATCTAACAAAAACTCCAAATCAGATGTGAATCGCTGATTCCAATGGCCTGTTTTTTTTTTTCAAAATGAGCTTGGCTGAATTTTATACAGCCATTGTTTCACCATTAAAGTGTGTCACAGATAATGACACACAAAATAAGATAAAATGTAAGAGGCACAATGCTTCATGAAAATACTATCTGGTATCAAATGTCACATTGTTGATTCGTGACTGAATGCCAAAGTCCTGACTTTCCCAAGAGTACTGAGATGGCTTCCAGAACAGTAGACCGTGAATCTAAATAGGAACAGTTAGAGAAAATTGAAAGACCAGTCCATTTGGGTGCACTGCAAATTTGTTGTATAGTAAATAATTTGTCTGGCTTCTGTCACCAGTTCCTGGGAGGTGGCCTCTAAAACACTGGAATTTCCCAAGTGATAGAAGTGTCTTTGTTTTTTGTGGTGGGTTCCTCAGACCACACCTGAGCTTATGTTAATGAGATAACTTAGAATGGAGACTGAGCATGTCAGAAAGACCAGCCATGTGATTAGAGAATGAGGGCCAAACGATATCAGCCCAACCTCTAGCCCAGCCTATAAGAAGGCATCTAGAGTTGGAGTCTCATGGCCAATGATTTAATCGATCATGCTTACATAATGAAACTCCAATAAAAACTCTGGACATGGCAGCTTGGGTGAGTTTCCTTGGCTGGCAGTACTCTGTGTATTGTCACACACTGATCTAAAGAGTCCTGACTTCACAGGGAGAAGACATGGAAGCTTCATATTTGGGACCCTCCCAGAACTCTGTGTCTCTCTCTCTATGGCTGATTCTGTGGCTCAAGCCTGTAATCCCAGCACTTTGGGAGGCCGAGACGGGTGGATCACGAGGTCAGGAGATCGAGACCATCCTGGCTAACCCGGTGAAACCTCGTCTCTACTTAAAAAAATACAAAAAACTAGCCGGGCGTGGTGGCGGGTGCTTGTAGTCCCAGCTACTCGGGAGGCTGAGGCAGGAGAATGGCGTGAACCCGGGAGGCGGAGCTTGCAGTGAGCTGAGATCCGGCCACTGTACTCCAGCCTGGGCGACAGAGCGAGACTCCATCTCAAAAAAAATAAAAAATAAAATAAATAAATAAATAAATAAATAAAAATAAAACTGTAATCACAAAGATAGTGCTTTCCTGAGTTCTGTCAGTTATTTTAGTGAATTATCAAACCTGAGGGAATAATAAAAACCTCTTGCAATGTTTTGGAACTGGTTTGAGTTGGCCCAATCTTGTGCAACAATTTATTCATCCAGCAACTATTGAGTGCTTACAAGTCAGATGAGATCTCTGCTCCCATGGAGCTTAAAGTCCACTAGTGGAGACTTTCCAAAGAGCAACAAAATGGCTAACACTTGCTGAGTGTTTACATGTGATTCTAGGGGCTGTCCTAAGTGCTTCAGTGACTTATTTCACTGGGTCCTCATAACAATAACATGAGGTATAATTATTAACACAATCAGCAGATGAGGAAATTAATTAAAGCCCAGAGGGATACACTGACTTCCCTAAGATGACATATCTGGTTGGGACTGAATATGGAATTTTCTCCACATGGTTTGATACCAAAGTCTACACTCTCAAGTAAATAAACAAATGAGCATAGAATGGAAAATTGTGTAAGTGACATCTCCTCTTGGATGTCTGAGAGGCATCTCAAACTCAACCATCTAAGCTAAACATCATACCTTTTCTCCCCCACTTCTAGCCCCCAAATGCTTCTCACACAAGCTACCCTATCTTAGCTGATAGCAACTTCATCCTCCAAGTTTCTTAATCCCCAATCTTGGAGTCATTCTTCATTCCTCTCTTTCTGTCACATCCTAGTTAAATTCATTGGTTAATCTTGTTAGTTCCGTTACAAACATTATTATTAATAATTATTATTATTGCAATCTGACCACTTCCAGTGTTCCCAGTCTTGCCCAAGCCACTATTGTTTCTGGTTTGATGGCTTTCGTGGCTTTCTTTGTTTTTTTGAGACGGAGTCTCACTCTGTCTCCCAGGCTGGAGTGCAATGGCATGATCTCGGCTCACTGCAAGCTCCACCTCCCGGGATCCCGCCATTCTCCTGCCTTAGCCTCCCGAGTAGCTGGGACTACAGATGCTGCCACCATGCCCGGCTAATTTTTTGTATTTTTAGTAGAGACGGGGTTTCACTGCGTTAGCCAGGATGGTCTCGATCTCCTGACCTCGTGATCCTCCCACCTCGGCCTCCCAAAGTGCTGGGATTACAGGCGTGAGCCACCATGCCCGGCCTTTAGTGGCTTTCTAACAGGGGTCCTTGACTCTAGTCTTGCCCACAAAAGACTTTACTCAGTGTAGAAGCTAGAGTGATTCTTTTACAGTATAAATTAGGTCATGCCACTCTCCTCTGCTTAAAACCATGCAATAGCTTTCCTGCATCTCATTAAGAGTAAAAGCCAAAGTCCATGATCTACATTCCACTAGCTAGGATATAAGCTCTATGAAACCAGAGATCATTGTTTTATTCATGGATGATACATAGAGGGTGTTCAGTAATATGGCTGAATAAATTAATGAATAAGCTCATTTTAACTACCCTTCTAGACATCACAGATCAAGTATGAAGATGAGTATCTTGTTGGGAAGAAGTTTAATAGAGTGGTCAAGAGCATGGGTTTTGGTTGGTTGGGCTCAGTTCTGGCTCCCTTACTTCCTAGATGCATAATCTTGGCCAGGATCCCTAACTTTGAGAACTGTTTCTTCGTCTGTAACATGTGGATGATAATACTTAGCACTTCCCTCATAGCTTTGTATCTGGGATGAAGTGAGAAACTGCATGTGAGGTACTTAGCCCAAAGAAATAACTCATCAATATTAGTGCCTACCCTTGGCACACAATAACTTTTGAGAACTTCTGGCACCAGATACCCAGAGTTGAGTCAAACCTCACAAGTTAAGGCTCAGTTCTCCACAAAACTATTCTCACTTTAGACATCAATCGCAACTTCAGGGATCCCAAGGCCACCAGAACTTCTGACCAACTGGTTACAAATTTGGGGGTTCTTACTACTCCGTCAATTCACTAGAATGATTGACAGAATGCAGGAAAGCGGTCTCTTTGTGATTACAGTTTTATTATAAAGCAAACAAATCAGAATCAGCCATAAGGAGAAAGAAGACATCGGGTGAGTTCTGGGAGGTCCCAAACATGAAGCTTCTGTTTTTTCTCACTGTGGAGTCAGGACGCTTTAACATATCAATGTGTGACAATACACAGAGTATTACCAGCCAAGGAAACTCACCCAAGCTGCAATGTCCAGAGATTTTATTGGAGCTTCATTACGTAAGCAGGATTGATTGAATCATTGCCCATGAGACTCAAACTCTAAGCGCCCTCTATTAGGCTGGGCTAGAGGTTGGGCTGATATCACGTGGCTGAAGGCTCCTGTTCCCTAATAACATGGCTGGTTCTTCTGACATGCTCAGTCTCCATTCTAAGTCACCTCATTAGCATATCAGGTGTGGTCTAAGAGATCCACCACAAAACAAAGACACTCTTATCACTTGGGAAATTCCAAAGATTTAAAGGCCACCTCTCAGGAACTGGTGACAGAAGCCAGCCAAATTCTTTATTACACAGTAAAGAGGAAGGAGCATGTTGAGAGTCATTGCCATTTTCATCTCAAATCTCCTCCCTGCTTTTATGAAGCTGACCCTTCTCAGCTCATTATGTCTTGTTATCTCCAGCTCCCCACATGATAGACTGACAACCTTCTCAGTCCTGCTATTTGATTGTCCCCACTGAAGAAAGCACAGGTTTGAATTTTCAGTGCCCAGGCCCCATACATGAGTTTATTTTCTCTCTACAGTCTTGTCTTTTTCATATGACCCCTTAACTGACGGTGTTCCCCAGGGCTCTTCATCAGGGACCCATCTTCTCACAATGTCTTGTTCATACCCAAAGCTTCAATGTCCGCCTTTCAGCCAACCACTCCCTTGTCTCTCTCTCCAGCCTGAACCTTTCACCTGTGCTGCAGATTCCCATAAGCAACCTCCCACAGGGCACCTGCTCCTGGCTCTCCACAAGCTCCTGTTGGTCAGCATGTCCCTGAAGAAGCTCATTTCCCCACCTGCCAAACAAATTTCTTCTCCATGATTCCTCTCTTAGTATTGTCTTAGTCTGGTTTTTTGTTGCTGTAACAGAATATCACAGACTGGACATTTCATAAAAGAAGAGTTTTGTTTGCCTCATGTTTCTGGAGGCTAAGAAGACCAAGGTCCTGAGGCTGCATCTTGTAAGGACCTTCTTGATGTGTCATAACATGGCAGAAGGCATCATGTGGAGAGAGGACAAGAGCATGCATATGTGATCAAGTTTCTCTTCCTGGTTTTTTTTTTTTTTTTAATACACCAGTCTCATCATGGACCCCCATCCCGAAGACCTTATCTAATCCTAATTATCTCTGAAAGGCCCCATCTCCAATCAACATATAAATTTGGAGACTGAGTTTCTAACACATGAAATATGGGGGACACATTTAAACCAGAGTACTAATGGAACCTAACGGCCTGAGATTGAAATCTGAGCATCACACTCCTCCCCATAGCCCACCAGGACTTCAAGTCCTACAGCTTCTGTTGTCTACATATGTCTCTGCATGTGTCCTCTTCCTTCAGCACTTAGTCCAGGTGCCAAGTTTTCTGTATCCCAAAGCCCTTCATCTTAACTCAACAAAGCCTCTTATACTGTATTATGACCTCCTACATTCTTGACTGTCTCTCCTCCTTGGCAGACTTCTTTAGCACCTGTTCGAATGTCCAGAACATACGACTTGCTCATCCTCTGTGTGTTAAATGAGTGAATGAATGCACAAATGAATGACTGCAGGGAGAAAAGGTAAGATTGGACAAGGAGTTGGGGATTCAATTCTAGAGGCAGTAGCCTTTGGACCAGACTTGCTGGACAGGGGTAGTTAGTGAAGGTGTTAGATTGGTAGGGGAGGTGACATGATTTAAGGGATACTTCCCCAAGATCAGACAACAAAGGGACACAAAGTTAGATTACAGACACTTCCAGTAACCTTTCAAGGCTCAGCAGAGGCATTAGTGGTTATTTGGTAACAGTTTCCTTCAGTTGGTTCAAGGGCCCCATGATCTGATTCCAGGGCAGTACTAGAACGTGTGAGAAGAAACACTGCAAAGACTTGTCAAGTATGGAGAGAGGGGATCAAGCAGGATTATCATGGCAAATAAACCTCTCCCTGGAGCCTGGGGAGATGATGAGCTCAACAATGGCATGAGTGCCTTTTGAAAACCCCTCAAAAATAGCTGGGATCTTTGGGGTTTAGCTTTCTCAACAACAATGAAAAAATGTCATAATTGCCCATTTTAAAAAGCTTCATCCTTCTTTCAACAGGATAAAATGATCCTGGTAATTTGGAGCTCAGAGAAGAAGGCTCATTATGTCTTGTTATCCCCAGCTCCCCAGCTCCCCACATGAAAGACTGACAATGCACTTCCCCGCCTCCTGTTTTCAGTCTCTCCCTGTTAAATCTTGTAGCAATTAGCAGGCATTTCACGGCCCATTTCTGTCAAATAATGTGACTTGGCAAAAACCAGTACCCTTGTAACCATCCGAGGACTGCAAATCATTTTCTGTGTTCCAGATGAAGAGAGATTTTGAAATTTGTGGTGGGTGAGTTGCTGGAAACCAAATACAACCTCCCTGAATCCTGATCTCCTCTTAAGCTTAGACTTGGGGTTAGAGAATAGCATGGACACATCTGTCCCCAAGTGTCCTGACCCCCCGAGTCATTTGCTCCTCAGTTCCTCCTTGTGGAAACTCTATTTTCTTGGTTCTACAGCACCTTACATCTTGGCTGGCTGTTCCTTGGTGTCCTGTGTAAGTGCCTGCTCCCTTGTTGACTTGCTCTGTCCTGCCCAGCTCTCATCTTGGTTTTCTTGGAGGCATCTTACACAATCTTAGCTTGTATTTATGTTCTGACAATTCCCAAGTCTATATGACCAACCTCACCTCTTTTCTGCGTTCTGGACCACACATCTAGTAACTTGCCTGATCTACCCTCTTGAGCATCTCGTTAGTTTCTCCAACTCAGCACGTGCTGGTGTGGTCCCTTCTGCTGTTCTTTTGACTGTTAGTTGGACTGGAAACAACATGGATTATTATTTCAGATAGCCTCTCCAATGCATTTTCATAAAATCAAGTCTGATAGCATTCCCTTATTCCATATCCTTCAATGACTCTGCAAAGACATTCATATTAAGGTTAAATTTCTTACAAAACTCAAGGATTCCCTGACCATCTCCCTTACCACCCGTCTTGGCTCTGTCCATAGCCCAGAGGTTAAAACCCTGGCTCTGCTGCCAGTGAGAATTTAATTCCAATGTTGGCTTCACCACAAAAAAAGCCGTATGTCCCTGGGAAGGTTATTTAACCCCGACAATCTTGAAGCTTCTAGCTTATGAGATGAGAGATCATAATTGTACCCTCTTACAGTAGGGGAGGTTATATCCACAATAGTACCCACAATAGGAGGGTCGTGAGGATTAAATAGCCCAATCCACATGATATCCTGCCTGGCAAATATACTCAAGAAGTACTACTTCTAAGTAATGTCAGCTTACCGACTGCCTTAGGGCATTACTTACCTTGTTCCCTCCTCCCTGCCTCACCAGTTCTGATTTAGAAGCCCTACTTCTACTGTGCAGTGATCAGGGTCTCATCCCAAGGCAGCACCTCACATCTATATGAGTTTACAGTTTGTCTGTCTCTTGCCTGGTACTATTAGAGCCTTAAGACCAGAAACTGGGTTTTTACCAAAGCTTGTTTCTCTAATATTGTTTGGCTCTGTGTCCCCACCTAACTCTCACCTTGAATTATGATAATCCCCATGTATCAAGGGCAGGACAAGGCAGAGGTAATTTAACCATGGGGATGGTTTCCACCATGTTGTTCTTGTGATAGTGAGTTAGTTCCCATTAGATCTGATGGTTTTATAAGGAGCTTCCCCCTTCACTCAGCACTTATTCTCTCTTCTTCTGCCCTGTGAAGAGATGCCTTCCACCGTGACTGTAAGTTTCACAAGGCCTCCCCAGCCATGCAGAACTGTGAGTCAATTAAACCTCTTTTCTTTTATTTGAGATGGAGTTTTGCTCTTGTTTTCCAGGCTGGAGTGCAATGCACAATCTCAGCTCACTGCAACCTCCGCCTCCCGTGTTCAAGTGATTCTCCTTTCTCAGACTCCTGAGTAGCTGGGATTACAGGTGCCTACCACCACACCTGGCTAATTTTTTTTTTTTTTTTTTTTTTGGTATTTTTAGTAGATATGAGGTTTTGCCATGTTGGCCAGGCTGGTCTTGAATGTCTAGTCTCAAGTGATCCACCCATCTTAGCCTCCCAAAGTGCTAGGATTACAGGTGTGAGCCACCATGCCCAGCCTAAACCTCTTTTCTTTATAAATTACCCATTGTGGGTATTTCTTCAAAGCAGCATAAGAATGAACTAATATAGCAAATTGGTACCACAGAGAGTAGGGTGGTACTATAAAGATACCCAAAAATGTGGAAATGACTTTGGAACTGGGTAACAGGCAGAGGTTGGAACAGTTTGGAGGGCTCAGAACAAGACAGGAAGATGTGGGAGAAAACTCATTTTATCAGGAGAAAGTCAACCCAGCTACAGAAATTTGCATAAGTAAAAGGAGCCAAATATTAATTGCCAAGACAATGGGGAAAATGTCTCCAGAGCATGTCAAAAGTCTTCATGGCAGCCCCTCTCATCACAAGCCTGGAGGTCTAGGGGAAAAAAAACAATTTTGTGGGCAGGGCCCAGGGTCTTGCTACTTTGTGGTCTCAGGACTTGGTGCCATGCATCCCAACCATGGCTAAAAGAGGCCAACATAGAACTCAGGCTGTTGCCTCAGAAGGGACAAGCCACAAGATTGGCAGCTTACACATGATGTTGGGCCTGTGGGTGCAAAGAAGTCAAAAATTAAGGTTTGGGAATCTTCACCTAGATTTCAGAGGATGTATGGAAACATCTGGATGTCCAGGCAGAAGTTTGCCACAGGGGTTGAGCTCTCACAGAGAACCTGGATTAGGGCAATGCAGAAGGGAAATGTGAGGTTGGAGCCCCCATGCAGAGTCCCCACTGGGGCACTGCGTAGTGGAGCTGTGAGAAGAGGACCACAATCCTCCAGACTCCAGAATGGCAGATCCACTGAAAGCTTGCACCATGTGCCTGGAAAAGCCACAGATACTCAATGCCGGACTATGAAAGCAGCTGGGAGGGGTCTGTAGCCTACAAAGCCACAGGGTTGGAGCTGCTGAAGGCCATGGGAACCTACCTCTTGCATCACTGTGATCTGGATGTGAGATATGGAGTCAAAGGAGATCATTTTGGAACTTGAAGGTTTAATGATGGTCCTGCTGGATTTCAGACTTGCATAGGGTCTGTACCTCCTTTGTTTTGGCCAATTTCTGCTATTTAGAATGGTGTAGTTACCCAATGCCTATACTCCCATTGTATGTAGGAAGTAACTAACTGGCTTTTGATTTTACAGGCTCATAGGCAGAAGGGATTTGCCTTGTCTCAGGTGAAACTTTAAACTTGGACTTTTGGGTTAATGTTGGAGTGAGTTAAGACTTTGGGGTACTACTGGAAGGGTATGATTGTGTTTTGAAACGTGAGGACATGAGATTTGGGAGAGGCCAGGGGTGGAATCATATGGTTTGGCTCTGTGTCCCCACCCAAATCTCACCTTGAATTGTAATAGTCCCCATGTGTCAAGGGCAGGACCAAGTGGAGGTAACTGAATCATGGGAGGTGGTTTCTGCCATGCCATTCTCATGATAGTGAATTAGTTCTCATGAGATCTGATGGTTTTATAAGAGGTTTCCCCCTTTGCTTGGCACTCATTCTCTCTCCTTCTGCCCTGTGAAGAGGTGCCTTCCACCATGATTGTAAGTTTCCTGAGGCCTCCTCAGCCATGTGGAACTGTGAGTCAATTAAACCTCTCTTCTTTATAAATTACCCAGTCTCAGGAATTTCTTCAAAGCAGCATGAAAAAGAACTGAATCAGCATACCTAGTGCCTAACACAATCCGTGGAATTTTGCAAATGTAAAACAGATATGTATTGAAAAAGTGAATGGATGGATGGATAAATGGGAGGATGGATGATAGCTGCATAAGCGGGTGGTTGTGAGGAATTGATGGAACAAGTACTGTATGTGGAATTGTCTATACCAGTGCTGTGCCTGGCCAGGCTCGGTATATGTTGTTTCCCTTCCCTTTCCCTTAACAATCATCCTAGAATGCTTGGTAAGAACAATCTAGCAAGGCAGCTGGGGTTGAGTAATTTTGCCATCATTTTTCTCATTGTGCAACCTTGAGAGTGTTGTTTTAACCTCCTTGCCCCTCTGTTTTCTTGGGGATGAGTCAGCCACCTATAGAAAGAGCTAAGAAATCTGTGGAATATGGTGGCCCTTACATAAGATTAACAGAGGGCCTCATGCCACTGGAGAATGTTGTGGGGGGTGTTTAGCAGTGTGACCATCTGACAGAAGTATGGAGCAACATTTGGGGAATGACAGCTTGGTGAAAATCACTGGCACCATCCAAAGAGGACTGTGGGGTCTGGTTGAGAAATCATTAACTGTAAAGGCAGTGAGACAGTGTCATCATTTTATGAGACGTGCCAGGAGCCAGCTGCAAAATAGGAAGGAAAGAAAGACTTCTGAATTCCAGCCAATTTTGGGTAATCAGAGATTGGTGTGGCCGATTGGCCACTAGAGAGCACCACTAGCACCAAAATGTTGCAGGAAGAGTGGGCATAGGGTGGGTGAAGACCCCTTAGAGGAAGGAAGAATGTTTGCCGGCAAATTTTCTTACAGGAATTTAGCATTCTATGAGGCCATCTGTATGATTTGAGAGAGCAGAAACAACATCCAAATATGTTTGTGGAAATGAAGTGAATCAGAACAAAATTCACATGCATCTTTCTGATAGCTTCCTTGCACCGTGATCCCAGTGTGTTCCTATGCATTCTAAATGTGGAATGTTACACAAAAGTTTTAGTATATTTTCATAGTTTACATTTGACAAATTGAAATTTTTAATACACGTACATTCTAAGGCTCTATGTGTAAACTCCTCAGGTGGTAATTGCAAAAGTCTAAATTTGAAATCTCAACTTGGGCCAAATAGCACGCACGTCTGCCTTTCCCACTGGTGGGCTCTGAATATTGGGGATGCTTTCATCCAAATAAATTATTTCATTGCAAAAAAAAAAGGGAAAGGAGATAAACAAACATGAAGGAAGAAAGGAAGAGGAGAAAGAGATAAGAGAAGAGGAAGAAACCAAGGAAGAAAGGAAGACAAGCTTAAAATGTCCCTAGTCTAGATTACTCTTTAATAAGTTGAAATTCTCAAACTCATGGTTTCTTCCGAAAGGAAACAGGCAGGATTTGGTTTGGTTTTGCCAGTATCACTCTTAACAAGAGGCAGCTCTTTGAAAAATCAAACTGTCATTAATTTCTTGAATCCTGCTCTAAAACTATTTTTCAAGCATCAGTCATTCAATCATTTTAGCTCCTCTGCAGAAGAACCCTGAAATCTCAGTGTCTTGGCACAATCAAAGTTTATTCTTGAATCATATAAAGTTTAATTGCTATTGGGGTAGAAAGGGAGAGTCTCTGGTCACATGCTCACTCAGACTCAGGCAAACAAATGTGCTGCTAGTTTCCAAAGGGTCCCCAGGGCTGCTCTGGGTATAGCCATTTGATGAGATCCTGGGGGTCAAATGGGGGTATTCATGAGTCCCACGGACCAAATGTTGGTGTCCCCCAAAATTCATATGTTGGAACCCAATACCCAGTGAGACAGTATTCAGAGTTGGTGTTTTTGGGAAGCAATTAAGCCATGGGGGCTCCATCCTCATGAATGGGATTAGTGCCCCTATAAGCCAAGCACCCTTGCTACTTCTGCCATGTGAGGATGCAGCAACAAGGTGCCAGCTATGAAGCCCTCGCTGGACACTAAATCTGCCATTGCCTTGATCTTGGGCTGCCCAGCCTCCAGAACTGTGAGAATATATTTCTGTGTTTATAAATTACCTAGTCTATGGTATTTTGCTATAGCAGCT